CACCGGCGAGTGCACACGGGCGAGAAGCCGCACCTCTGTACCGTGTGTGGCCGCTGTTTCCGCCACCGGTCCAACCTGGCAGATCATACCCGCACGCACACGGGCGAGCGGCCCTACCCCTGCACCGAGTGCGGCCAGCGCTTCCGCCTCAGCTCCAACTTCGTCCGCCATCGTCGTTCGCATATGATGCGCCGTCTCTATATCTGCGCTGTGTGCGGCCGAGACTTCAAGCTGCCCCCTGGCACTAAGGCCACCACTGTCACTGAGCGCTGCCCAGAGTGTGAGAGTAGATGAGCCCCCTTGTCGCTGCGGCTGCTAGTGTCTGGCTGAGGAGGCGCATGCCAGGGCCCTGACCCCCAGGGGCTGGACTAACTGGACAAGGACTGCGGGACCCTGGTCTGGGAAAGGGTGGGGTGGCAGAACTGGCTGCCCGGGACCTGGGAGACATAGTTAATCCTCTACTGCAGTGATGGCGAACCTATGACACGCGTGTCAGAGGTGACACGCGAACTCATTTTTTTGGTTGATTTTTCTTTGTTAAGTGGCATTTAAATATATAAAATAAATATCAAAAATACAGTGGGGCCTTGACTTACGAGTGTCCCGACTAACGAGTTTTTTTGAGATACGAGCCGTCTCTCGGCCGATTTTTTGCTTTGAATTGCAAGCTCAAAAAAATTTGGGTTACGAGCCAGCTTCAGGTTCCCCACCACTAGTTGGCGCAGCGAACGTCACAGTGATTTGACATATGAGTAATTTGAGTTATAAGCTCCGTCACGGAACAAATTAAACTTGTCAGTCAAGGCCCCACTGTATAAGTCTTTGTTTTACTATGGTTACAAAGATAAAAAAATTTATATATGTGACACGGCACTAGAGTTAAGTTAGGGTTTTTCAAAATGCTGACACACCGAGCTCAAAATGTTTGCCATCACTGCTCTACTGGGATTTTTGGAAACCGTGGCCTCTTCCCCCTCACTACAAATCCTCAACCCGTGTTAGTGAATAAAGTATTATATCTTCACGCACATGTGCCTGTGAATGAATAGATGGGGAAAGGAGCAAAGTTGGGGTATTCCCTGGGCTTAGGTGACTTAAGTGAATCATCACAGAACCAAGTGGGGCTATTAGCCCAAAAGGGTTCCTGGAACTGGGTTTGTGTGTGTGAAGTCATCCCACATTTGGCCCTTGGTTATGTCCTTATAACCTCTGATCTGGAAGGGTCTGTAAATATAGCACACTAGAGGCCTGGTGCACAAAATTCGTGCACTTGGGGGTGTGGTGGGGGGAGTTCCCTCAGCCCTGCAGGGGATGTCCTACTGATGGCTCAAGACGCAGTCGGGCCTCCCTCTACAGGAGGCGGCCAGCCGATGAGGGGAAGGCACCACCCCCATCACCCCCTCGCTGCTGCTGCTGCCTCTGGCCTCCCTCTGGGAGGCAACCCTGTGATCAGGGGAAGGCAACACCCCCATCACACCTCTGCTGCTGCCACTGCCTGCCATGAGGCTTGCCTGAGCCTCGGGCCCTCGCAACAGCAGTGGCTATCGGCGGCTTGCCAGAGCCCTGGGCCGGCCCTGGGCAAGCAGCAGCAGCCATCGGGTCCCATACACTGCAAGTCCCCACCCCTGTTGCTGCAATGCCCCGCCCACCCATGCCTGCTGCATATGTAGCCCGCTGATTGGTTGTTACTGTGACGGCATCCCAACCAATTTGCATATTACCCTATTATTAGACTAGAGGCCTGGTGCACAAAATTCGTGCATGGGGGGGGTCCCCTCAGCCCAGCCTGCACCCTCTCCAATCTACATAGCCTGCTGCTCAGTCCTTTGGTCATCCCTCACTAACCCCGCTGCCAGCCTGGTTGCCCCACACAGCCTATTCTGTCGTCCATTCGGTTGCAATGGTCGCTTAGGCTTTTATATATATAGATAGATTTGTGCTTAAACAGGCACCAAATTCTGCAGAGCTTTGGTGAGCAGCCATGAACATCATGGAGCGTAGTATAATGAAGAGACAATACTTTTAAAAAATATATTTATTTTTACTGATTTCAGAGAGGAAAAGGAGAGAAATATAGAAACATCAATGATAAGAGAGAATAGTTGATCGGCTGTTTCCTGCATACCCATACTGGGGATCGAGCCTGGAACCCGGGCATGTGCCCTGACTGGGAATCAAGCCCATGATCTGGTTCATTATTTGCTGCTCAAACACTGAGCCAGGCCTGCTAAACAGTACTTTGTTTAAGACTTAAGTGCTTTATTGTCAGCTCATTTTCATCCTCAGCATCCAAGTTTGGTAATCATATCTCCATTTCTGCAGCTAAGTAAGTACTGACAGTGAGGGAATGGCAGAACTGGGACAAGTATACAGGCATTTGCAGTCCATTGTCATTTGCTATGATGGGGGGAGTTGTTGGTTAGGTTTTTAATGCAATCTTGGGAGTTTAGAGAGGTTGTCCTTGGAGGTTATGTTAAACTGGCCTTGAAGGCTAAAAGAGAGAGAGTTTGGGAACTAGGGAGAGTCCCTGAAAGTGCCTGCCAGACTTGTTGGAGCTTGAAGATAGGGACAAAGAGCAACGAAGTCGGCAGGAGATAGACCGCTGGGGATTTTAGAAGCCAGGTGACAGTATCCAAGGCAGCAAAGAAGCCTTGAGTGATAAGGGAAGGGGTGGAGTGGACATATTAAGGAGCTAGAATTCTGGGGATAAGGGAGGTGGGGCTGACTTCACTTCTTAGCTTGGATGACCACAGGTAGAGTCACAGATGGTACAGGATAAGAACAGTTGAAGTGGCAGCAATTGTTACCCCCAATCTGGACATGTGGAATGTGAGGTCAATGTGGAGGGGTCAGAGAGGTGATTGAAAAGAACACCTTGGGATATCGGGTCTGAAGTGCATGACCCCTCGCCCAGAAAAGGGTACCCAAGAAGTACCTGGGAAAGAACAGCCAGAGATAGACAAACTCAGAAATGCCTCGTTTGGGAAATCTAGAGAAGTGTTCAGAGGAAGTGGTCAGGTTTTGCTCTGGTGCCCACTGGTTGTAGGAGTTTGGGGAAGTGGTGAGCCATTTCAGTGGAGTGATAGTGGGTTAGGATATAAATGGGAGGATGAAGCAGCAGATGGGTGGGTGTAATAACCCTTCTCAAGAGGCGTGGCTGTGAAAAGTATGAGGGCAGTAGCTGGGGAGTTTGTTGGTTTTGTCTATAGGGAGGAGACTCAATTTTTGTGCTTCTGGAAAGGAAGAGAAGTTGATTATACAGAGAGGAGATAATTGATCAAGGAGAGATACTGAAATCAAACCAGTAAGGATAAGGCTCCTACTATTATTGGTAGGGAGCAGGGTGGGCTTGGGAACACCCTTCCAATCTGGAGTTTTACCTGTGAAGTAAGAGGTCACTGGTAAGAGGGATAAGGTCACCGAGAGGAATGAGGCCAGTACAGGGGAACCCTCATTTTACTGATGTGGAAACAGGTTGACAAGGGCAGCAAAAATAATTTGAAGGTCTTTTTTCCAGCATCACCCCAGGCCATGGGCATCTCAGAAAAGAAAGTGATGTGTCTGAGGTCACACAACAGGTACATCACACACCTAACACCAGTTTTAGGGATAGAAGTGGAATGAGAAATTGGCCTGGAGATGGCAGTGCAGGGGCAAGAGGCCCAACTCCAAGAGGAGTGGAAGCCCAGTTCTGCTCCACATCAGAGATCTGATCCCAGTTTGTGCTGGGGCCTGAGGCTCAGCCCTGGACCCAGGCCTAACTCAACTGTTGACATTTCCTGCTCTGGACATCTGAAAGTTTTGAGTTGAAAGTTAATAACTGGAAACTTACAAAGTCCTATGTGCCAGGCACTGTCCTAAGCACTCTACTGACAGTAATAACTCACCTAAGTTTGTTTTTACATTTTTATCGATTTCAAAGACATAGAAACATCAATGAGAGAGAATCATTGATCAGCTGCCTCCTGCACGCCCCCTACTGGGGATCAAGCCCGAAACCCGGGCATCTGCCCTGGCTAGGAATTGAACCGTAACCTCCAGGTGCATAAGCCAACGCTCAACCACTGAGCCACGCCAGCTGGGCTCACCTAAGTTTTAAAACCCTATCAGGTAGGCACTTTATTTTCATTTAGATGAGGAAATCAATGAATACCATCAGCTAAGTATGAAAGATGGCATTTGATCCCTGATGGCCTGGCTCAAAAACCTAGGCTCTTAAAGCTACGCACAGCCTCCTATCTGTCAGAGGCCCCGAAGGGGAAGGAGACTGGCTGGAATCTCACAGGCAACCTGCTAGAAGTCAGATCTCTGCCCTGCAGGTGGGAGCTACAATAGAGAAACACGGGAGTTGGGCTCAGAGGCAACCCTGGTGCCCCTCTTCAGCACCTGCTGAGACGGAGCCTCCCCAGCCACCGCAGGAAGAATCTGGAGGCGGTTAAACAAAACTTTTATTGAGGGAGAAGAGTACCAAGAGGCTGCTTCCAGAGGTTCTTGAACCTCAGACCTCAGGACATGTCCCTAGGTCTGTGATCTGTTAGGAAAGGACTAGAATGAGGTTCCGTGGGTAGGCCACTGTCTTCCTCACATGCCATGCTGAGCTGCGGATCTTGATTCCATGTTTCTAGGTTGAGGCCTGACCTGTGGACTCACAGGCAAGGTCTGCAGTCCCCACAGTCTGGTCTTCAGAGGTGGCCCCGTGGGGCAGGTCTGTATACTTGCGAGAAGAGCCGCGGGACAGATGTGCTGGGTAGCGTCTCCGGTTGGTGTCCATCTTGGAGAGCACTGCTTGGGGAAGATCCACACGGCAGCGGGCTGCTAATGCTACCAGGTAGATGAGGACATCGCTAAGCTCCTCTTGAAGGGCCGCCCGTTCCTTAGGGGGCCAGGCTTGGGGACCAGCCTTCCCGTCGGGCTTCCACTGACTGGGGATGGAACACACAGATAGGCACACACACAGAGATGCTAGCTAGGACAATGGGTTCCGCCTCCCAGGACCCCCCAGTTCTTGCAGCAATGAATTCGCACATCCTAGGAACTTCCTCCAAGGACAGTTCAACCCATATGGGCCCTGGGTAAACTCAGGGTGAGGAAGAGCCTCCAACAGATGAGTCACCCAGACCTCTGTGTCCCTACTTGAGTCAAAGAGTTGGCAAGAGATCATTTCACTTGTCAAGACCCAATTCTTCTCTCCAGCCCTAGCCACTGCCACCCCAGACTAAATCTCAGACCTGGACCTACTGGGGAAGCTTGCTAACTCATCTTCTATTCTTGCCCAGCATCATTTTTTAAAAGCACATTTACACATTACATTTTGTCCCTCTCCTGAAACTCCCCTAGCTGTGCTTGGAATAAAATCCATGCCCTCCAGGTCCTGCATGAGCTGAATGACTCCGCCTCTTCCAATGTCATAACCCACTACTCTCCCTAACTCCCCACCTAAAAGTCACCCTGGCCTTTTCTGACTTGCACACAGGTCAAAGTGTCCCAGGGCCTTTGCACTTACTGCTCCCATTGCCTTGAATGATCTTCTCCCTGCTCCCCCCACAGCTTTCCCAGGGCCGGCTCCTTCCTGTTGCCCAGGTCTCAGCTCAGGTGTTACCTCCTCAGAAAAGCCTTCTCCCTGTTTCCTCCTCTTTCACAACCTGGTGCTATTTTATTCATAGAACTTATCACAACTGCTGATGTTTTAAAATAAGCCTGGCTGGTATGGCTCAATGGTTGAGTATCACCCTATGAACCAGGAGGTCATGGTTGGATTCCCGGTCAGGGCACATGCCTGTGTTGCAGGTTCCATTTCCAGTGTGGGGTGAGCAGGAGGCAGCAGATCAATGATTCTCTCTCATCACTGATCTTTCTCTCTCTCCCTCTCTGAAATGAATAAAAATACATTAAAAAAAATAAGCTTGCTTATTTATTGTCAGTCTCCTTGCACTGTGAAGGTGGGAGCAATGTCTGTCTTGTGAAAGGCCCTATCTCTTGATTCTAGAAGAGCGAGCACACAGATGGGGCTCATAAATCTGTAATAAATGAATGTCTTGCCCACACACACGTCTATGCCCTAACTTCTCCACCCCCCTGTGACTTCACTGGCTTAGGCCTCATGACCTCTGGCCTAATCTGCACCAGCCTCCTCACTGGTCTCCCTGCCCCAATCCTTTCGGTGATCCATCCACCCTGCTGACACAGTGCTCGCTCTACCACTCCCGTCTGGTCAGGTCTTCTGTCCGAACTCCATCAATTCTAACCCCAATTTTATCATTCTGGCTTCATATCCCACCCCTCTCCTCCACAGCCCTATCACTTACCCAGTAGATATCTACTGAATGTCTGTTGTGGGCCAGGCACTTGGCACACACCAGCGGACAAAACAGATACAAAGTCCTTGCTCTTCCTTGAGAAGCTTTCACTGGAAGAGTCTCGGGTTCTCCTTGAATTTAACTTGCCCTTTCCCACTCACCACCTAGGCACATGTGGTCTCGCCTCTGCCTGGAGTGCCATGGGCAGGTTTTCTATAGAATATATTCCTTTCTATCCCAGAGGCAGAGGTAAAGGAAGACTGCCCTGGCCCTTTCTTAGACCAAGATCTGCCTTGCTGTCTTCTCTCCCAGGAGGCCGGGCACCCCTCAAGGGACTGAGTCAGCTGTATCCCCAGCACCAGGAACAGAGCCTGGCAGTGAGAAGGGGAACTTGAACCCATGGATATTTGATGATCAAATACCCCCCACCCCCACCCCCACATAAAGATTCTTCCAGGAAGCCTTTCATCTACTCACAAGAGCTCTGCCAGCTCCCCCACTTCCCCCACCAAGGCCAGGAGGAGGTTCCGAGGTTGGTGGAACTGGTCCCAGTCTCTTTCAGCAGCAAACTCAGCATGGAGGCGGCGGCTGGTGTAGGAGAAAGGGGTGGAAGCCCAGTCCCAGGGTTAGGGCGTGGGGGAGGAGATGCAGGGCCCCGGCAGCTGTCTCTGATCTGTAATAGGGGCGTGGGTTTCCGACAGGGTTCTGCAAGTCATGTCTTTTCTAGGGACTATAAAATGGACAAGCCCCTGCACAGACCCTAAACTCCATGGAAACCCAACAATACCCTCTTTACCATTCCGTCTCCTGTTGCTGCTGCTGCGGCGTCCTCCACCTGGCACATCCCTCTCTCTGCAGATCTAAACCCTACGATCTTACAGAGACCTTGTAGGTCCGCGGGACTTCCCCTGAGGAGCCTTTCTTGGTTTCCTCCAGCAAGAAACAATGCCTCCCCCTCTCCCTGCATTTGTCTGTGTTCTACCTCCCACTCCTGGAGGGCAGAGCATCGGACCTCAGGGCGGGCCTTAACACCGCTCGCGAGGCGTCACCATCCCCCTGCCTCAGGTGTGCGCTGCTAAGCCCATTTTGAATATGAGGTTAGCAGGTTCGCCCGAGGTCAGACTGCAGAGCTGGGACGCGAGCACAGCGGCTAAACTCCTTCCCGCCCACGTGGAGGGGCCCTCCCCAATAAAAGGGCGAGAGGGGGTGATTTCCCAGCCCAGGTTGGGGAAAGACGGCTTACATGTCCTCGAGCGTGGGCTCCGGGCTGAAGCTGAAGGGGCGGGCAGCTTCGGTGCCCTCGCCCCCCGCGTCCCCAGGCTTCTCCCCACCCACAGTGGACATGTCGCCCACCGTGCTGCTGCCCAGATTGCCCAGGAAAACCCGCGCTCAGCTCGGAGCCCGCCTCCAGAGGCTCTGACCAATCACAGGCGTTATTGATTGCTTCCGGGGGCGGAGCCGCAGGAAAGGCCAGTTACTTGCGTGGAGCTTGCTATAGCCCGCCCCTTACCCGGACTGGACCAATAGGAACAAGCTTCAGGCGTGCGCCCAGAGGCCTCTGACCCGGAATGCTTCCGTGTTGGCCAAGCATCTTAAAGGTGTGGATACCAGATTCCACCAGGTTAAGAGACAAAGGGCAGAGGGCGGGGAGTGCGCAGGCGCGTCACTAACCTATGGCGCCAGATGGCGCCAAAGCGAAATGACGGGGTGCGACCCGGAAGGACGCTCAGCGGAGAACCCCAGAAATGAAGAGTTTAAGCCAGAAGGGGGAATTTATTATTAGGGTACAAGAATATCTCCAGAATACAGCTGGGCTCTAGGGATAAACTGGAGCCAGGTAGCTGTTTTAAGCATTTTACATATTTAATTCTTACAGCAACTCATTTAATCCTCACAACAACCTATGAGGTACGTAATATCATTGTCCTCCTTCTCCTCGTCATCATCCTGATCCTCATTTTACAGATAAGGAAACAGACATTGAGTTTAACTCAGCAGTTAGTAAAGTGGTAGCCAGTTTTCAACTCCAGGCAGTTTGGCCGCAGAGCCCGTTTGGCCTACTATTGCATCAAATGGTGATAAGTACCATGAAAACAATTTTTTAAAAAAATTTTGTTTTATTGCTTAAAGTATTACAAAGAGTATTACATGTCTCCTTTTTTTTTTCCCCCTTGACCTTCCCCTGGCCTCCCCTACCGCCCCTCCCCCCCAGTGTCTTGTGTCCATTGGTTATGCTTACATGCATGCATACAAGTCCTTCAGTTGATCTCTTACCCCCCCTCCCCCATGCATACAAGTCCTTCGGTTGATCTCTTACTCCCCTCCCTTCTGCCCCCCAACCCTCTCTGGCCTTCCCACTGCAGTTTGACAATCAGTTTGAGGCAGCTCTGCCTCTGTATCTATTATTGTTCAAAAGTTTGTAATGGTCTTTATTATCCATGAATGAGTGAGATCATGTGGTATTTTTCCTTCATTGACTGGCTTATTTCACTTAGCATAATGCTCTCCAGTTCCATCCATGCTGTTGCAAATGGTAAGAGTTCCTTCTTTTTTACAGCAGCATAGTATTCCATCGTGTAGATGTACCACAGTTTTCTAATCCATTCATCTACTGATGGGCACTTAGGCTGTTTCCAGATCTTAGCTATGGTGAATTGTGCTGCTATGAACATATGGGTGCATATATCCTTTCTGATTGGTGTTTTTGGTTTCTTGGGATATATTCCTAGAAGTGGGATCACAGGGTCAAATGGGAGTTCCATGTTTTGTTTTTTGAGGAAACTCCATACTGTCTTCCATAGTGGCTGCACCAGTCTGCATTCCCACCAGCAGTGCACAAGTGTTCCTTTTTCTCCACATCCTCTCCAGCACTTGTCGTTTGTTGATTTGTTGATGATAGCCATTCTGACAGGTGTGAGATGGTACCTCATTGTTGTTTTGATTTACATCTCTCGGATGATTAGCGACTTTGAGCATGTTTTCATATGTCTCTTGGCTTTCTGAATGTCCTCTTTTGAAAAGTGTCTATTTAGGTCCTTTTGAAAACAAATTTTAAATGTATTTAAAAATGAAAAGTGGGGGCAACTTTAGATTGCATGGTCCAGGGAAGATATGGTAAGGACTGTTGTTTACCTACTCAGCTGCTCTCCTCATGCCTCTATCTTTGCAGAATAGTGATTTTATTCTGGGATCCATCCTTCTCTACTTGATTATATGGCCCCATTGCCCTGCCATTGATCAGTTTATGGGTGAGCATGTAGCCTAGCTTTGTACAATGAGGAGATAGAGGAAGTGTGGTAGAGATTTCTGGGAAAGGTTCTTTTTAAAATATATATATATTTTTTATTGATTTTTTACAGAGAGGAAGGGAGAGAGATAGAGAGTTAGAAACATCGATGAGAGAGAAACATCGATCAGCTGCCTCCTGCACATCTCCTACTGGGGATGTGCCCACAACCCAGGTACATGCCCTTGACCGGAATCGAACGTGGGACCCTTCAGTTCCCAGGCCGACGCTCTATCCACTGAGCCAAACCGGTTTCGGCAAGGGAAAGGTTCTTTATTCTTTTTTTTTTTTTTAAGACATAGTTATTTTTAAAAATATATATCTTTATTGGTTTCAGAGTGGAAGTGAGAGGGAGAGAGAGGTAGAAACATCAGTGATGAGAGAGAATCATTGATCAGCTGCCTCCTGCATGCCCCATACTGGGATCAAGCCTGCAACCTGGGCATGTGCCCTTGACCAGAATCGAACCTGGGACCTTTCAGGCCGCAGGCCTACACTCTATCCACTGAGCCAAACTGGCTAGGACAAGACGTAGTAGGTTTTTACCTTTGATATTAGTATGTGAAGGCTGGATAATGAGGAGAGGTAGCCCACCAGCTGAGACTGGTAGATAGCAAGATGGAAAGGACCTGGATCCTTGATAATATTGCTGGGCCACTTATTTTTACAAATTACAGAAAAACCCTAATTTGGGGTTTTGGATATATAAGTTAAAAAAATCTCTATTCGTCAGCCACTTTTAGTTTTTCTGTTACTTGTCTTTGAGAAGGTGACATTGAAGCTGAGTAAAAATTAAGGAGAAGAGATTTCTGGGTAGAGGGAACACTAATGCTTAAAGCAGAAGACTTAACATGTTCTAAAGACAAAGGAATTCCAGTATGGTAGGAATGTAGTGAGCAAGGGAGAGAGTTGTTGGTTATGGTGTTAGAGGCCAGATCAGATCAATTACCCATGATCTTAAAATTTATATAAATTATATTTATATAATACTTTTGGATTTTAGGTATTATGGAAGCCCTTTGGAGGGTTTTAGGCAGAAGAATCATATAATCATACTTTGTATTTATGAGCCCTCTGGCTGCTGTGTTAAGAATGAATTGGGGGGAAAAAAAGAATGAATTGGAGAAAGGCAAGAAAAGCAGCAGGAAGATGGGTTACTAATGTTGTCTAGGCAAGAGATGATGGTGACGTGGACCAGGCTGATGGTGGGTGAAGATGGAGAGAAGTGGACAATATAGGACATATTTTTGAGGTAGATCTATTGGCTTTGTTGGTTTTGAACTAGCTGGAAAGGATAGAATCAAACATGGCTTTTAGGTTGTGAGTGTTGAACAATTTGGTGGATGGATGATTCTTACTGGGACAAAAAAGATGAGGTGCAAGATTTAACACATGTGGCTTCAGGAGTTTGAGTTATGACAAAGCAAGTTGAAGATATATGTCAATTAAGCAGGTGTATTATGAGCCTAAGCTTTAGAGGAGAAATTCAGATTTGGTAGTCTCAGACACTTAGAGAGTACTTAAAGAAAGAATCAGAGAGGCATTATAATACAAGAATCTTCGTAGGAAAGACCATGATTTGAGGTACTCCAACATTTAGCAGTTCAGCAGAGAAGAGGCAGGTGAGGTAGAAGAGAGATTGGCAGAGTGTGCTGTTATGGAGGCAAGAGTGGAAAGTGCTCCACATTGAGTGGACATCTGATTTGGATGCTGCTGAGCTACTGGGTGAATCTAGAGCACAGCATTTGCCACTGGATTAGGCAACATGGAAGTTGGATATGGGAGATGGGAGATGAGAGAAAAGGGGGAGTCCCTGGTAACTTCTTGGGTTTCTAGTTTGAGTAAATTGATGGATAGTTTTGCCATTTGTTGAAAAGAGGACACAAAAGACCTGGAAGCTGGGTGGGAGGGAAGATAATAAATTCAGTTTGGGAAACATGGAGTCTAAGATGGCTCTAGGACATCCACATGATGTCCTGCAGGCACATGGACACACAGGCCTGAAGTTCAGAGCATTGAGTTGCCTCATGGATCTATGAACTGAAAGTTTCAGGAACCAACTACCTTCCCTAGCACCTTCCTTGGTGTTTGCTAAGCGTCTCCAAATAAGAACCCAAAACTCTTCTACTGGAAACTAAAACACACTTGGAGAGCAACTTTTTTAGTAGTCTCTGCATTTCCGATTTTTGAATAGCCAGGGACTAGGAGTTCTAGAGCTCACGGGTCAGGTGGTCCTTGGAGATTGACAAGAAGGAAGAGGCTTTCTCTCTGGGACTGCCTCAGCCCTCTGCCCAGGAGATCCCTGGCTGAGCTGTCAGGCTCTTGTGAAGAACCTGCGGGGACATCCAAGTTCTTTGCTCCACAGCATCATCTGAGAACCAACCAAACCCAGCTCCAGCACAGCACGAAGTTGGGGGATAAGGGAGGCCGTCATGGGGGAGAGGGAACAGACCTGCACATATGATTGGCTCTACCACCTGGACTCCTCATCCCATGCTCTTTCCACCCTCACCCCCACATCCAGTCAGTTTTCACCATTCCCCTCAGACATATCTAGGTGTCCTGACCTCCCAGCTTTTGTCAGGGCCACAGTGTGCTTGGTCTTGTGTTTTGGTCCACGTTTATGATGAGCTGTTTTTAAGCCTTTCCCTTCCCCAACCCCTCCCGAGACTGGTGCCCTAGTCTTTTCAAATAAAGGTGTTTCCCGAGCACAGGCTGATAAATGATTAATGACAGGATGGACGGGCTGGGACAGGCACACACGAGCATGCACACACATGCCCTTCTGCTACTCATGAGTTTGGCCACCTTCCTTAGTAGAGCCAAGCTGTGCAACTGCTCCCAGTAAGGCTCTTTGGGAAACCCTGGAGTGGAAGAGGCGGAAGCAGCTGGAGAACAAAGTAGTAGAGGCCCATAAGATGGGTGAATGCTATGGGGGTGGGAGAACCTGAGCCAGTCTGAGATCCCAGGGCTGTTCATGGTTTTATCCCCAACCTATCGCAGTGCTATTCTTATTGGAGGTAGAGCCATAGGCATTGTTGGTTTTGAACTTGGAGATGTGAGAAGGCATTTTGCTATAATTAAAAATGTTTGTTCTTGCCTTGGCAGGGTGGTTCAGTTCATTGGAGCGTCATCCCATGGACTGAAAGGTTGCCAATTCCATTCCCTCTCAGGGCACTTACCTAGGTTTCAGGTTTGATCCCTGGTGGGGGTGGGTACAGGAGGTAACCGATCGATGTTTGTCTCATACATCGATACCTCCCCCCCCCCTCTCTCACACACACACACACACACACACACACACACACACACACACCTTCCCCTCTCTCTGAAATCAGTAAGACATATCCTTGGGTAGGATTAAAACAAAAGTTTGCTCTTATTAAATGTTTCAGGGGGAGCCCTAGCCAGTTTGGCTCAGTGGATAGAGTGTAGGCCTGCGGACTGAAGGGTCCTGGATTCGATTCCAGTGAAGGGCACATGCCTGGGTTGCAGGCTCGATCCCAATACGGGGTGTGCAGGAGGCAGCTGGTCAATGATTCTCTCTCATCATTGGTGTGTCTGTCTCTCTCTCTCTCCCTTCCACTCTGAAATCAATAAAATATATTTAAGAAAACAAATGTTTTAGGGGGAGTCATGACAAGGGCTTTTAGGAATCTCTAGCTTAGCCCATACAGGATGAGTCTCCAACACTCTTAGAAGCTCTTCCCCAACTTACCCAGCCTTTCCCCCTTACACACATGCTGAAGTCCAGCTAGATATTCCCACCCTCCCCCTTCCTGCCTTTGTTCACACAGCTCACTTCTCTGCATATCCAAATCCAAATTCCACCCATCCTGTAGAGCCCTGCTTCAAAGCCACCTCCTCTGGGAAGTCTTCCAGGACTTCCTCCAGAGGACAGAACTTTATTTTCTACAGCACTTCATGCACTCTAGCTCTCATGGCACTTACCACCTTTCACCTTAGTTGGGGGTGACTGGTGTCCCTTTTCTAGATGTCCTACACTGGGTCTCCTGGGGAACAGAAGCAGTGTCAGGCTTTTGTTTCCTCAGGGCCTGGTACTTGAGTAGATCAAATAAATACTAATTTATACAAGCACATCTCATGGGATCCCCTCCCTGACTTTCTGACACAGGTGGTGTGGCTGCACCTATTTTATGGATGAGAAAACTGGGACCCATGGCTTGTCTGAGTTCACCCAGAAAGGCATAGCTGCAGCTCACCAGCACTCCTCAATGCTCCTCAGCAAGTGGAACAAGTCTCCCACCCCCTGGGAAACCCTGGAGTGGAAGAGGCGGCAGCAGCTGGAGAACAAAGTAGTAGAAGTAAAGGAAGCCACTCACAGGTGCGTGGTGTGAGCTGAGGTCACCTAGTCACGGCCTTTCCTTCCGTCTTTCTGTCCCTTCTCTTCATCCTCCTCCAGCTTCAGCTTCCCTTTTTCTTCTCTTCCTTCAGCTTCCCTTTCCCTTTTCTTCCTCTTCCTTTTCCTCCATGGCTTCCCTACCCGGGCTGGTACCTGTGATTCTTTTCTAGTTTCCACCCAAGGCCCTGTCACCTCCACTACCTGCTACCTCCATTTTGATGCCCAGCCCCTCCCCAAGGAAAAGTTGGATGCCTCCCTTGCTCTCAACCCCTCATCCTTTCTGAGTTAACTAAGCGGGCCCAGGCCAAGGAGGCATCCAATCACTTTCCTTCCCTTTCCACTGCCCACCTCAAGCTGGAAAATGAACCAGTTAGAGAGCTGTGTAAAGGGATAACCAGGACCAAGGTCCTAATTTCTTCTCCAAAGCCTCCTCAAGGAGATTGGAGGTGTCAGCTTCCACTGCTAGGAAACAAGAGCAAGGGAAGTATCCCAATAGAGGGTGCTAGGGTCCCCAATGTGTACTTCATTCATTCATTCATTCATTGAATATATTCTGAGCACTTACTATGGACCAGACACTGTTCTAGGTGCTGGGGATACACAACATCCCCTCCCATCTTGGAGCCCACATGCTAGCAGAGACAGACAATTATAAAGTAAACTAATACATTCTCAAGATAAGTACAAATTAGGATAAAAGGTATGAAGCCAATAAATAGGGAGAGTAGCTAGGTGTTGGCAAAGGTCAGAGATGGCTTTTATGAGGAGGTTTTATGTGAGCTGAGCCAGCACTGAGAGTGAGCCAGCCAGGTAGAGAGCCTGAGGTGAGGTTCCAGATGGAGGGAACTGAAAGCGCAAAGGATCTTGATTTGTTGGAAGCACCATGGAAAGGCTAATGGCCTTGTGTGTAATGAGAGAGGCAGGGAGAGTGCCATGGGATAAAGCTGGAGATATGTAGCAGGAATTTTATGGAAGGACCTTTGAGCAGGAGAAAACTGGATTTAATCAATCAATTAAGTTAACTTAGTTATTTTTGTTAGGTAATATTAGCATTATTAGCTACGTAAAAATTTATTGCCGAGTACTATATGTGATCACATTTTATTGGTTATACAAGGTTTTATTTTCGACTAGTTGATGGGCCTCATTCTTCTCTTCCATTTGCTAGTTTTCTCTATTGTTGTTAAGTACCATTGAGTGGGCTCCAACTCCTGGCTTGAATGAGTGATGTCCACAGTGTCCTGCCCTCAACAGCCCTTCTCAGCTCCTGTCCACTCATGTGGCTTCTTTTACGGAGTCAATCCAGCTCACCTTTGGTCTTCCTCTTCCTGCTGCCTTCTGTTTTCCCCAGCATTATTGTCTTTTCCAAAGAACCCTGCCTTCTCATGATGTGCCCGAAGTAAGACAGGTTCAATTTTGTCATTTTTATCTTTAGCAATGTTTCAGGCTTAATTTGCTCTAGGACCCACTTGTGGTGATATATATATATATATATATCACTAATTCTTTTACATCTTCTATTAGCCTTCCAATACAACTTTTCACAACATTAAATGCATCAGTACCGTATCTGTTCCACTTTCCTTTTTCTGGAAGCCTTCCAGGCTCCTGTTCCAGCATGGACTTGCTCTCCAGCATCTACCTTGATGGCCCCTTTCACCTCTCTCCCTGGCTGGGTTAGATTTCCTGAACCCCATGTTTTTTTCTTTCTTGGTTTGCTCCCTTCTTTTGCTGGAGCACATCTTCCAGTAGTTTCTTGAGAAAGAGTGCATGGGATGAAACCCCTTTGATACTTAGCATGTCTAAAAATACCTTTATTCTACATTTTTGAAAAATGTGGCTAGGGATAAAATTATACATTTTAGAAAATCATTTAACCTTGGAATTTTGAAGGCACTCCTTCATTGGCTTTTACCTTCCAATTTGCTATTGAGAATGCAGATAACATTCTTTTTTTAAAAATTATTTTTTATTTATTTCAGAGGAAGGGAGAGGAAGAGAGAGAGAGAGAAACATCAATGATGAGAGAGAATCATTGATTGGTTGCCTCCTGCACGACCTCTACTGGGGACCCAGCCTACAACCCTGGCATGTGCCCTGACCGGGAATTGAACCCATGACCTCCGTGTTCATTGGTTGACACTCAACCATTTGAGCCACACTGGCTGGCCTGATACCATTCTTATCCCAGAACCTTTGTACATGATCTTCCCCTCTCCCCAGAAGATTATAGGAGAGCATAGTGAATACAAGCTTGGACTCCGGAGTCACACTGCCTAGAAGACTGATTGCGTAACCTTGGGCAAATTTATTTTTTTAAATATATCTTTATTGATTTCAGAGAGGGAGGGAGAGAGAGAAACATCAATAATGAGAGAGAATCATTGATCAGCTGCCTCCTGCATGCTCCACACTGGGGATCGAGCCCGAAACCCGGGCATATGCCCTACCTAGGAATCAAACCAGGACCTCCTGGTTCATAAGTCAATGCTCAACCACTGAGCCAAGCCGGCCGAGCTTGGGCAAATTTCGTAATCTCTCGGCACCTCAGCTTTCTTATTGACAAATGGGGTTGTTGGAAATTTAAATAAGTTAATACATATAAAACACTTATAACAGTGCCTGGCAAAGAGTATGCACTATATAAATATTTGTGATTATTATTATTATTATTGTTAGGGTCTCTTTATTCCTGGCATTTAACATTTTAGTATTAAAATTAATGTCTTTTTTCATTCACTATACTGGGAATTAAGAGGTGTGTGACACAACTTCTAAGTTTTTTTAAAAATATATTTTATTGATTTTTTACAGAGAGGAAGGGAGAGGGATAGAGAGCCAGAAACATCGATGACAGAGAAACATCAATCAGCTGCCTCCTGCACCCCCCCCACTGGGGATGTGCCCGCAACCAAGGCACGTGCCCTTGACCGGAATCGAACCTGGGACCTTTCAGTCCGCAGGCCGACGCTCTATCCACTGAGCCAAACCGATTAGGGCGCAACTTCTAAGTTTTAAAAAAACGTTCTTGTATTACTCTTTGATAATTTTCTTTCTTCCATATGCTTTATTGCCTCTTCCTGGAATTCCTCTTAGATGTTGAACCTCATGGCTCACCTCTGATTTTCATTATTTTCCCCTTCTAGTGTGTA